CGAATCAGGTTGTCAGTTTCTTAAAAAAAAAAAAAAAGAAAGAAAGAAAGCAGCTGGGAGTTAGATAGGAATTGCGTCGACTTTGTAGATCTATTCGGGTAATATTGCCATCTTACCAATATTGTCTTTTTCTCTATGAGCATGAGATGTTTTGGCTCCTAGCACTTTAGTTTCTTTAAATAATGTTTTATAGTTTTTGGTTAAAGGTAAAAATTTGACAGAAATTATGAAGGAAATTTTTGTGAAAACATCATTAAATTTGATGAAACTTCTAGGAATTGACCTAAGAATGTTTTTGGTATTGTCCCTTTCTTTTTTCATGTTTCTTGTAATAAACAACAAAAAAATCAAGTTGTTCAATCCTATGTACCTCTTAAAGTATATTTTAGTTTTTGAAATAGTCCAGAGATTTATAGTTCCCAAAGTTAATAATTTTAATTTTGATTTATAATTAAGATTTGGGAAACAATTAATAGACCCAATTTTTTTTTCATTCAGCCAGAGCCTACTCAGAACAAATTTTTTTATTTGTTTGTTTTAAGAAGAAAACCAGCATTAATCTGAAATGTATGTATGTACGTATCTATTTCTCCCCTCCCTGCCATGCAGAGTTTTATATGAAGGGAAAGAACGGCTTATGCCAGGATGTGAAGTGATCCAAGCCACGCCCTATGGTCGTTGTGCCAATGTCAACAATAGTTCAACTACTTCACAAAGAATCTTTATCACTTATCGAAGGGCTCCTGTAATTCGACCCCAGAATTCCTTGGCTGTAACTGATATCTGTGTTATTGTAACCAGTAAAGGAGAAACACCTCCTCATACCTTCTGCAAAGTTGACAAAAACTTAAATTGTGGAATGGTAAGAATAAAGCTTTTTCATTTTCAAAATATGAAAGCAAAAGGGGCTACTTTTTGGATTCCTGTTTACTCTAATTTACTCTCATTTTATATTTTTGTGATTCTTGTTTTTATTATTTTTAGCTCTCAAATTTTCATGATTTATCATAATTTTTAACGTCCTATTTGATGATTTACCATAATTTCATCCAGAGAAAGGATACTTTAAGTCAGGGAGTTTTATTTATTTATTTATTTAGGTAAATCCTAATATTGTCTGTTACTTTTTTTTTTTTTTTAGAGACAGGGTCTCATTCTGTCCCCCAGGCTAGAGTGCAGTGGTGCACTGCAGCCTCCAGCTTCTGAGTTCAAGTGATGCTCCCACCTCAGCCTCTTGAATAGCTGGGACTACAGGCACACGACACCATGCCTGGCTGATTTTATTTTTTGTAGAGATGGAGTCTCGTTATGTTGCCCAGGCTGGTCTTGAACTCCTGGCTTCAGGGGCCTCCCAAAGTGCTGGTATTTAGGTGTGAGCCACCGCACCCAGCCCCTTCTTTTCTTTATGTTAGTGTTTTCAACTTAATGCTTTGCTATTATTTTATACTATGTAGTCTATTAGATAAAGATAAATTTTATTTATTTTATTATTTTAATTTTTTTATTTCTGCATATTATAGGGAAGATAAGTTTTAAATAGACTCTCCTGAACCTGAATAAATAATCAGAATCTTTAGATGATATTCAACAAAATCAATTTTTTTCACTCTTTTGTCTTTTTATAAACCTAATTTCTATTTTACAGTGGGGTTCCAGTGTGTTTCTGTGTTATAAGAAGTCTGTACCTGCTTCAAATGCAATAGCATATAAAGCTGGTAAGTGAATTTAAAAAAATTATCTCTATTACTGTAGTTATTTGTCATATTAACATTTGGCTAGAAGAGACAAAGTGTGCTTCTTTATGTAGTTTGGGGAATCGATGTATTCATAAAATTAAATTATCTGTAATTTTTAGCATGTAAAGGCATACGTTTTCTTAAATCCATTATATACTACAAGATATATTAATGCACACCCCCCCCCACACACAAAAACATGCTGTTAATTAAATTTAAACTTTTATCCAGAGAAATCATATGTGGAATAAACATTCAAATTTTGGTCTACATTAATGGATTTAACAATTTAATGGAAAATTGCTTATTCTCTGACCTTTTATATTTTGGCAATCAGAAAGGTGTCAACCTGCATCTTTACTTCTTATATTTCCTTCTCTTATCTCTGTGTGTCTGATTTGAAACCACATGTTACTTGCCATGAAAGGTGGAGTTGCTTCCTTTATCCCTTGTTGCAAAGAATCAGCTATATGGAGGAGAGGAGGGCCTGAGAAACTTTTCTGCCATGAAGTATTTGAGAAATCTATCGCCACATTCTTACTGCACAGTAAAATGTCAAGGGCTGTAAAGATTTAAGTGTGACCTCTTCATCCCACTGGTATGGTGGGATAAAAACTGAAAATACAGGTATGCTCCAGTTGTAAATAGAAGAGATACTGGAATACTTCTTTGTGAAAAGAAGCAGTGCCAATTAATTTTTGATTATGCACAGTTTTTAGAGTAAAGTTTTACTTCAGGAAAGTTAGGCAAATCCATACCTGAAAAATCTTGATTGTCCTCATAAAAACATTCACACTAATGAATCAAACCATTTAATTTATAATATAAAGTAAAGGCAACAACTAACAACTATAAAAT